TTTTAATAGTTTAAACAGAACGATCGCGTATGCTCCTATATATGATGTTATCTTGTTTTTTTGTACGATTGAAAAAAATGACATTTTATTTATCCCTCTATAGATGTAACTTTGCTACTGTAGGAAGTTATCGTTGACAATTTTACGCGCACATTTTTCAATTTTGTGCCGTCTCGTTCTGTCCCTTTTTTTTTTACGTTAAATTAGAAAAAATGTGTACCTATATTTTGACGCGTACGATCGATAATGGAGAATCGAAAATACCGAGCAAGATTGGCGACCGAGTGGTCCGCGACCGCCGCACCCCGCGTCTCCCTCTTTTTTTCCCGACTCAATGATACGCGACTGTCATTTACACACTTCTGCCATTTCGTTGCGCAAACATACCCTATTGTCGAAATAGCGAAATGGCACTTCTGGCCAGGCGCGTTTGTCCGGCGCCGAAGTGGAATATTTCCACGAGCACACTGGACCTGGAAATTCTGTTATTCTTACCATGACCGCCATTCCTTCGACGAACAATTTCCAAGTGCGGTTTACATTAAATTTAGGTACGTCAAAATGGACTATATTGCAATTATTTCAAATCAACAATTTAAATATTTTGAAATTCTATGCGGATAAATTATACATGTATCACATAAATATGCACTTTGGAAAACAAAAAAAAATATATATATATATTTAATAATCAATTCACCGTATTAATTAATAACTGCATTGTTTATATCAATTCAGTCGTGTAATGAATAGTACATCTATAGATTTATATCCTTTTTCCTATAGTATACACGCTATACAAAATATTTGCGTTTCCATCCGTACATACGTCGGAAATTACATTTTTGATTGATTTACAGCATTAATTCCGGTGTGTTATTCGGGCTATTCGGCTGACTCACCCGCGTTCACGAAAAATTTGTTGCGGCGATTTTCAGCTAGATACCACCGCGTTATTCGTTCGGATTAACAGAAAAATTGTTTCCGCTTATTTTTATTCCGCCTCGTTTGTCAAAGTCACGTATTTTTTATCACCCATACGCATCGCGCCGATATTATTCTAAATACATGTAGCACTTTGGGGAACAAATATTCCATATCGTCCATATCATCCTAAAAAATATATGTTCTTGCTGAACGCGGCAAACGCGGTATAAACCGTTATACTTGACCGAAATTGCGGCCCGAATTGTTACGACCAAGGACTACTTACTTCGATCCTGGCATCCGTTGTTGTTACGTGTACGAAAGACACTTGCGATTGTCCTCGCGGTAAGTCGAGTTACGCGCGACACCGCGTAAACCGGATAGGCGCGTATTTCCGCGCTCTCTGATAATCCAGGCACGACACACAAATTACGAGCCATCCGTTCGATTACCCTCCTCCTCAGGGGGTAAGCCTACCCTCTTCCCTCCCTCGAAGAGCCTTTTTCCCGCCCGTAAGTGCACTCGCGCGGTGCAGCGCGCAAATCGCGTAAGCCACCGCCGACTCGTGGGGGTCGGGGGTGCGGGCTGGAAGCGTAAAGATATGCACCCTCGCGAGCTCGCTATGAAATAATCATATGGTTAGCTAATGGCGGCCTCTCTCTCCGGGGTAGCGGTATATACGGGGCAGCCGGCTCGTCAGTCCCCCCGCGTCATCCTCTTCCCTCGCCCCCCCCCCGCTCCTCCGTACCGCCAGGATGCGTGCAGGGGCGGGACGAGGGGATAATAAATAAATTCGATATATTTGCCTGGAGACTTTCCCCCCGCAAACATTCAATGATAGATCGCAATCTCGGGCCGGCGACGCATCCCCCGCCTTTCCTCCCTGACGCGGACGTGCGTGAAGATCGGGACACGGGATCTTCCTGGTTGGCGCGAGTCGCCTCTGGTACGCGTGCGGTAGACTGAATGACAGATTGAGGAAATACATTGTATAATATACATTGTATATTCTAAGGACAATTCAATCGCCTTTCGCCCGATTGAATTTCTAATTGAAAGCTAATAGCAAAACTTAACTCTCCCACCCCGTTCTTGAGAAGATACAATACGTTTACACGTCACTCTTAGTCTGGTTTAATAATATCCTGTAGCTAATCAAAGCTATTCCTCTGAAGAATAAAATGACCGTGATTGGTCAGTTTCATAACTACAGATGTTATCAAACCCGATTAAGAATGACGTATTATATAGGTCTACAACTCATTGCGTTATCGCAGAGGTTGACGGAGAGTTGAATATTAACGGGCGAAAGTCCACTTCTAATATTGCAATATTTAGAGCCGGTTCGAAACATCTTAATATTTGCAAGTGAATAACAAAAAAATTTTTTAAATTAATTAAATGGAGCGTGTAACGAGGACGTCTCAGTTTGAGATTTAATTACGTGAGTATTTAGTATTCAAATTTTATAGCAGAAAACGGCAGAACGAAATTATTTCTCTCGATGTTCAAGGAAAAACCATTGCCAAATTGACCGGGTCTGTGGTTGTAGAACTGATTCCGAGACACCCTCTGCGCCTATAGCATACCCCATTGCGATTACATTATGAAAGTATGATTTAATATATGTTTCGAGTGAATAGCATCACCCGGATCGGGAAGGATTTATCCCCGCTATTAAGGTTAAAGGATTAAAGCGATTCGGTGCAGTGATTTTCACGGATGTAATCCCGCGCGCTACCGTAGAGCGAAACGGAAGCAGGATGGTGGAACGGCGGAGGGGAGGGGGGGGACTCGCCACACTCGGCCTTGCGTCGCAAAATTATTGCATTCGAAGACGCGAAGTCCCCCTCTCTGTTGTCCCCCAACTGTCGCCCGTGTTGTTGCAGATTATAAGGGCGCGGAGGGGTTCTCGGCGTGTAATCGCGCGAGCCGGCGACCGGCGGCGTGTCGAGCAATCCTGATCCGCGCAGCGCGATCATTTCGCTGCATTTTATTAGCGAATTTACTCGGGGCCCCGCGTCGCACACTCTGTTCGACGGCATCCACGCTGCACGTCTGACCGCCGGCGACTCGCATTCGTCCATTGTCCGTATCTCCGGCAGGCTCCGACAGGCTTAAAGGACTCTCACACGGAGCGTCGTCGTCGTCGTCTGTCGCGCCTATTGGGAGAACGAGTGCAAGAAGTAAAAAAGAAAAATTGACGTCTCCACGGACGGTGACGCGACTCGGCAAACCGGATCCCGTGTATATTCCGTATCTCGTGTCGACGGGCGGGCTGTTAAAAATTCATCTTCTGGAATTTCGCGTCTTTTAAACCCGCGTCGCTTTCGGAGACGGGAATATCGTCGCGCATATCGACGCGAGTATAATGTTCCGAAAAAATACGGGCGCGATTAATATCGTCAACCCTTTTTAGGCGAAGCTCTACAATCGGCGAAGCTAGTGCGGCGAGATTAGCTCGCAGTTAGTTATGATTAGACGCGACAGTTGGCCTTCCACCGACGCAGCGCCGAAGGGCGGCGCACCCTCTCTCTTTCTCTCTCTTTTACCGTGTATTATATATTCCAATACTCATTGACGCGCGGACCCCCGAGTTTGTGTGCGTTCCTGTCGAGGAGGGTCGAAGGGGGCGGCGATAATACGCGCTGACAGGCACGCACCCCCTCGGGCTTGCGCGGCCGCGAAAGGGGATGCTGCCTACGAGTACGAGAGAAAGAAAAACGTATACATACAACAACCCGATAGAATGAGCATCGCGTGTGCCGCCGGTCGCAACTCCCCCGTCAGTACCCTACACGCTCTTCTCGCGTTCTGGCCGCTCCTTCATCCCCCTCTCACCCTCTCGCTTTCTCTCGGAATTACGCACTGATGTTATAATCCTCTCGTGTTACGCCGTCGCACATGCTGTCCTGTAAGCAATACATTGTTTTTTTTTTATCCGATTCCATCTCCCTCCCCTGGCGCCCATATGCACACTTCGCTGCCGTATGATTGCTCGGTGATCGACGAGCGTCGATTGCCGAGAGTACCGAAGTGAGATCCTTCGTCGGTCCAGGGGTCGACGGCCCGTTTGAATATCGGAATTGTTCGTTTCTCCGTCTAGAACAGGTGTTCCTGCACTTTCGCGTCGTATCAGCAAGACGCGTCAGTTATACACATTGTTTCGTACCGCTGCGCGCTGTGACAATGCTTTTCGAAATTCTTCGACCCTCACACGTACTTACTGAATTGAAAAACAACCGGAATCGATCTTCTTGTATTGAAAATTTAAAATATAAAAGAAGTAAAATATAAATACTAACATTAAATGTAACTTAAAATTTCGTTTGCGTGAACGAATCGATTCGAGTTTTCTTAAATAATATATTTTACGCCACATACATATACTGGCTTTACGCCAATCGATTTTCTAAGAACAAAATGCCCGTGATTTCCCTCTAAACAATCTTTGAAAACAAATTGGTTCTCTTTATATCTTTTATATCTCGATATCTCAGCATTGTCAGGCAAAAATGTCGATCCTTAATTATTTGAATCTGTATTTATTTCATCGAAAAAATTTTCGATCATTGTTACACACGCTCGCTAACATACTATTTATAATTTGATACAATTAAGAAATATTGTTATTTTTAAACAAATGATTATTTTTCCTTAATTCTTGATTTTTTTCAGTAATATCGATATTATGAATTATTACTTTTGAATTGGTATAAACATTATTTGTAAAGTTATTTTTTTAAACTGACAATGTGAGGCAATTATTTTTTTAAATATATTTATAATTATACATTTTACATCGATTACACTACTAACGTCATTCATGACTGACATGAGCTGTGCAGCGTATAGTTCCACATCCAGGTCAGCTGTAGCCAAAGGTTTAAGATATAACAATGATTCTAATGAAATAAGAACGTAGAAAGTTGTAAATTTTAATCGAAAATTTTTCTCAAGCATAGGAATTGTCCTTGACTCCAAGGGTATCGAGAACATGGGGAGAAAAAAGTAGCGCGGTTTCGTCGATCCGCGAGAGTTATAATACGCGTCTCGATTCTTTTGTGCTTCAGATATCTGGTAGCCAGCAGCTTAGTGGATCGCGTGTCACGCCACAGTCGGGCCCTGATCGAGACGGATTTTTTTCTGGATCAGGAGCATGAGTCGTCGTTGCTGGTATCGTCTTACAATCTTCTCGCGCGTATCTGCAGTCATCTGAGGAGGTCCGTCGATCAAGAGCCTGTCAGCGTGCACGGCGAGGGCGGTGGAGGCGGCGGCGGTGTCGAGCAGACGAGCAACGAATCGCACTTGTTGTCGACTTTGTCGACGACCGAGGCGTCGGGTGCGATCGGCGCTCTTTACGCGGCGGTCGCGTACGCGCCGCAGAATCAGAAGAGCGCTTCGCCCACCCCCAGCCAGACGTTCACGATCGCCGTGCGGACCCTGGCCAGCCACGGCCTCAGGCTCCTCAAATCGATCGCGGAACTCGATCTCCGGACGCTACAGGTACGTAATTTCACTCTCGCGACTCTAAAGAGTAAAGCCTCGACGAAATTAAACGGCCCCCTATATCTACATGTATATGCATTATTTTATTTTTTTTATTAATTTCTTAATTCATTAATTACTCTGTAATTTCAACGCATTCACTCCTCTCCGTGTTAGTGTAATGAAACACTTTATAAAACGAGATTAATATCAATAATTGCTGAATTGAGTACAATATAAAAATGCAAATAAAAAAAATATTTCGAAAGAAATATGCCCGAAATGTAAAACGCCGTTTCAAAGACAAAGGCGTGTACTGCAAGCAAAGTTTAGTTAGTTATAAACGAACGGCTCGATGCGGTATTTATGGATTATCACAAATAGGCTTGCGGCTTTGAACTGTGCACGCTATTATTGCATTCAGCCCTCCTGAATTATCATTCCTCCGAGTTTCATCATCATCGAAATATCACGTTGCGCAGCTCGTCCACAGTCGTATTACAATTTTGATACTTTTCCTAGACGATTCATGCTAAATACGGCTGTTTAATTTCGCAGTTTACTCAACCAATACGAAGATCGTATCCAGCGTGTAAATATGGAGCCGACGGTCTGTTACACTTTAATATTCCAATTATACGCGATGAAAATATGTCAGTCAGTACACGCACAGTGGCTAGTTTGTTCTATTTTAGGAGATATCTCTCGAATCCCGATTATCGCGATACTCGATTTCGGTCTGTTCGAGCGACAGCCGGGACGACGGCTGTCATCCATTACATCGCTATAAGCTCCATTACTCTTTAATTCGCGACGGTTTTCGCGATTCGGCATATTACCGCAAGTCCCCCCCCCCCCCCCCTCTGGCGTCGCCTCTCCAAATGACAACGATGCCGCTTGTTGCCGCCAACAATGCCGGCTTATCGTCGTAGGGCGCCGGGCGTGATGGAGATATCATGTATCGCGGGGGTTCGGCCTGTCAAGACGTAAAGGCCTCCCGTGAAGTTCTCTCGCAGCGAGCCGACCGCGAATTGAATCGAGGCGGCCGCGCCTCGCGCCCTTCGTCCCGCAAAAACCATAAGGGCTATCGTGTGCCCCGCGGGAGGGCCGTGCCCCGTGCTCCCACGGGAGCACGCCCGTCGATTACCAGATGAGCCCCGCGTGCATTTGCCGAAAAACCGACCGGTTATTATCTATTCTCTTTGCCGCCTCTCGGCGACGCGGTTTCTCTCTCTATATATCGACAAATAAAGCCGGCCCGATGATGCCCGTCTTAGATTTCAGCGGGCTTTGAGCGACCGCCGGTGGAATCGGTAATTCAGGATGAAAGAGGAAAGAGAGCGGAATTATATCAATAGGCAACATTAAGTGCTCTCAAGCTCTCTACGTTGCTCCACGTCGGATTTATCGGCGTGAGCCGTTTACGAGAAATCTGTCCGATCGAAAGGAGTTCATAAAAATATTAATCGATACACATAATTTTTTTTTCTTTTGCACACGGAAAGCTGTTCTGTTACAGAGCTTCCTGGGCGCCGAGGGCACGAGTCTGCAATGGCGGCTGACAGCGAGCCACCTAATAACCCGACTGTCCCGCGACTCTTTGTCGGACAAACCGGAGGTGGGATCTGTGCCGAATGCAAGCGGTATTCACATCCTCTCGGAATTGTTCGCGGTGCTCGGGTACTTCGCCCTCAACAATCCGGACAATCAGGTACGTCCCGTACCCATATGGCGGCTTATGCGATCGAACACCTCAGAATTTGACCTTTCTAAAGCGAAACAAGTTAAGCGCTCACTCGCGTAAAATCTGAATTTGCCGTTAAACTTCTTTTCTTAATCCGTTTACAGTTCCAAAAGCATTTTCTTGATCTTAAAAATAATCTTCTAATAAATAAGCTACGAAATAAAAGAAGAATCGAAGGTTAATTTCGAGATCGTTCATTTTTATTATTCTTTCTATGCGCGACAAAATTATGATGAATTTAGAGTTTTACCTACTTGGAAAATATTAACTTTATTTCGAATCAATTCTTATCAATGGATGTGCGCCGTCAGATTCAACGAGAGCGTACTTTGTTGAGGAACTTTCGTTCGCTTTCGGCGACTTTACTGTACATACATATAGTAGCACCGCTTCAAATTCCTCGAATCGACGTCGAGACCGTTGACTGCAGTGTCACGAGTCACCCGGTACGTTACTACGAGAAATGCACGCGCGGATGGCGTACGGCGCGTTACTAGAAGGAAGAGGCTGTTAGACACAACACACTCAGCGGACCTCCCATCAATATACGGCCGAACGCCGTTAAGATATATTTACGGCATACCGCTCCATGCACGCGCGCGGCGCCGCGCCGGTCCATCAGCTCGCAAAATCGCGTGGAAATTCATAACATTTATAATTGCGACGCGGGAAACGAAAGAGTAACCGTATCTAAAGGGGTAAAATAAGAGATTATTTGCATTAATTAAAACGCAAAATATGCGCGATACAGAGAGCTCTTCTTAAAAAAAATTATTGGGACTAAAGAATAATAAAGTATATTTAAAAGAGAGTAGTAGTGGATAGAAATAATAATACATAAAGGTATTTATCTGTATACAAATCTGTATTAAATACTTTTAAATATCTAACAATACTCTGTGTAATTCATTAATAAATTAATGTAGATTCAGTATTTATGTAATTTTCGAAAACTCTTTGAAATAGTTATTTAAATACTTATTACAACTTTTTTTGTTAGGAATTATTATAAAGTGATTATTTATAACAAAATAATTAATGCACTACAATCTCAATCGACAAGTACTTTTCGAACTTTGCTCGAAAACTATAACATGCAACACATTTCATATACGGTAACATATTTCAGAATGGGGAGCGTTCGAGAGATATGGAGTATATTAACTATGATCAAGATTTTTAATTTTGGATTTTTATTAAATTCCAGAATATTATTAATAGAAAAATTGTTTAAAGCTCTCATGAGCGAGTTTAGTGTTTTTGAAATTGATGCAGAGATTTCCCAATTCAAGGATGCTTTTCGCAAAATTGCTACAGTTTAAACGTCATCGCTCGCATCGTTGTCTGAGACCGATCCTGCGCTCGCGTCGATCCCGCGGACGCGTGAATCGGAATGTAAACGCTGAGTGCACCGCCGATGTCGCGCATTCGTCTTTCAGCGCTTTTTTAAGGTCGCCGCTCTCAAGAGCGAGAGCCGACCCTCCGAGAGTAGCTGCTTTGGAAAAATCGTTTTCCGCGAGACGAGAGGAAGAAAAAGAGGCGGGAGAGAAAGAGAGAAAGCGCATGTGTGTTGTATGTGTGTACGTTTGTGTCGTGTATAAAACAGAAAGAGCTAGGACGGGAGAGAGAAAGGGAGAAACGAGAAACGCTTTTAAGCTTCTATACGAGCATCTGCGGCAGCCAGGGGTTATCGCCGGCCCGGAGTACGACGGGGGTATCACCTTCTCCGTTCGCGATCATAAACACGTCCGTCTCCGTTTTTTGTCGGCGGTCGTAACCGAATTCGAGAAATGGATTTTTTTGCGGTGGCGCCGCGGTGCGCGCGCGTTACGGCTTTCCGCTTATTTATTTTAAAACCCGGGCGTTAACTAGATTCCTCGGAGTCACGCGCGTGCCGCTATTATACACGCACGTCGTTAATCGCCGCGATGCGTTGTATTTTTTATTGCCAATCAGTATTGGGAAAGCGCGCTTGCTTTATCGCGCAATTAAATAGCGTTAATGGCCTTTTTTGCGCGACGTCCGTGACACCCAGAAGGACTAACTTTCATAATCACTCTCCGCGTCCTTTCTTATTCTCGCTGATCGTTATATGCGAAGAACTCACTATAAGGTTGTACGAGAATCTTGCTTCAAGCCACAACTCGAAACGCGTCGAGCGACCTTCCGTAGGATTGATGAGACCACTTTTATGAGGCAGTTTTCACTGTGAAATCTATTTTCGTATAAGAAACCCTTAATTCCCTCTCGAAGTGACTGATCTCACCGCTAATGAACTCATCGCCGAGTTACACGTTACACGTTGCGCACGGAGTTATGGCAACCGTAACGGACGGATCGATATTTAATGCACAACTCGAGTTGCGATACGGGTCGTCTTGGCGCCGCGATGACAGGGAATGTGTAAAATGTGGGCATTTCCTGCTAGAGTTTTGCGCAGGTGCACAGGAATACGACGTCCTGTGTTTATAAGCGGAGGCACTTGTCGCGCAGATGTCCGGTGCGATCTTCTTGCGCCGGAGACTCTCCTCGCTTCCGTGACACCTGGGTCACCCGGGTTCTCACGCTCTTTAAGAAAATTACTCGGTCGTCTTAATTAACCGTCCGCGACGTCGCAATTGAGAGACTCCGCTCGAACGTGCCATGCGGGTAATTTGCAATTACAAGAAGAGAATCTTCGCCGACTTCGCCCGTTATACCGATACCTCCGTCTAACCCGCGGCTGAAAGATTCAAATAGAACTTGACTTCGACGACAAGTGTAAAGCTACTTTATACAGTCACGACGCAGGTTAATTACTATTTTGTATATCCGTTAATGCGCGCGAAACCTTCCTTTATGGTTTAAAAGCCACGCACTCATAAACTTTTGAAAAAGTTTATGAATACGTGCTTTTAAATTATAATGATTTTTTTTTTAAAGCGTTTTTATTTGTGGCTGGGATTTGCCTGCTGTCGGCCAAAGTATCGACGTAATTAATCCTCGTCGGCGCAACATTAAAAATTTGTATTCAGATCGATACGGTTTTCACGTATGTACAGCAGCGGAGACACGAGACAACATCTACGAACGGATGAGAAAAAAAAATCATAATACGATAGCGTGGCGACAATTTCCTTTTCAATAATCCCCCTCCCCCCCTCCCTTCCCTCCTCACCAGCCGTTGGCCTCTCTCTTTCTTTACGGTTACGGAATTATGATCGCGGAATTATCGGAAAAGTTAGAGAAAGTAAAATTACATCGAAAAATAATAACCATGCTGGGAAATCTGTTTCAGCTGGTTCTCCAATCGGCCGGCGCGGGTCCCAGCGTCCTCCAGCAGCTGTGCACCCTGCCGTTCCCGTTTTACGGAGATCCCAGATTGATACCGTACACGTTGCCAGCACTTTTGGCCGCTACCCACAGCAATTCGGAGGCAATGGCGATATTGTCTTGCGAAATGTCGTACGAGGTAAGTGGGTGCTTGCGGACAACTCTCGCTGTCACGCGTTTAATTGACGCAAACCTCACTGAACGGATCATCATCGTTAACGCAAATCTGTGACGATACGAGATTTGTCGGCAAAAAGTTTTTTTTTTCTATTGATAGTGCTCGCCAATCTCTGCGGTCGATTGCATTTCATACGCGAATCGGTGAGACGTATCAATGTCATAGCGTCAATTACCGGCAACCACATTTAACGTGTTAATATACATGTTAATATGCGTGCGTAAATATTCATAACTTTAACGTGTAATAACACAGTTGATTCTGCATCGCGTGTTCGATCAATCCTTCACGTGTGCTCTGCAAAAGCATAAACTTTTAGATGTTTTAAGAATTTTCCTTATTCGAGGGGTACATTTTACTTTAAATTGGCCGTGTTAGTTAATAATACAATTTATATATTTTTATATTCACTCTCAGTCTGTTTTTATAATTCATAATTTATTTTACATGACTCATAGTTAGAATGATAATATGGTTTCTCTCTAATAATATGAAGTTTGCCTTTTAATCTATTACATTGTTACAACCAAAAAAAATTTTTTTTCCAAGTACGAGAACGAGATTTCTCAGATTTTTAACAGAGATCTTTAACAACTTATGTAAGGCACAACGTAATAGACTAATAATATCATAAATATTTTTTTGATTATAATACTCGACACACAACAAATTTCTTTCAAGGGCCGAAAGTTCTAATAACACATTTAATTTTGATTACAATAAAACTTCTTCAATACGTAATGCCAACCACGTAAATTATAATATGCCAGAATTCACCAAAATGAACTTTTTTCGCAGCTTTAACCGCAAGTTTCTTAAAATTGTAACATGATAGAGCAATTTCATAAATATAGGATCTTATTTAGCGCCTAAAACTGGGAAGCAGTTTTATTCTCGTAAATTTTTTTGCTTGAACAGTGTTATTAATTAACGTATTGCACTATGTATAATAACGTTTAATGAATAAATTTGTTGATTGACTTTGCAGTTGCTGGAGCAGTACAGGAATTCGGACGAAGGTAAATTAAATCCTTTGGTGCGTTTGCTAAAGGATAACGCCTAGTCGCTGACCACTAAGCATACTTTCGTATGTTTCGCTAAAGGTTTGATTAGTTTAATTCTGTTTCTTAAAGCCTATCAGGCATTAAAGTTTGCGCGTAATCATTGATGGAATCATCGATGGGATCGTTATAAGCAAATAACCGCTTATCCGAGGCGAGACAAGAGAAAGAAATAAAGACGAGAGATTGCATCGAGAGGATGCAATTCGTATAGCCGTCCGTATCTGATGATCGCACGATCAGAAGGAGATTGAATCTCGATAACGGTAATTCCTTTCTAAGTGAATGTACGCGCACGTCTCTCCCTCTGAGAATGAAAGTCAATTTGAGAGTTAAATTTACTCAGAAGTAACGCGAACAAGGCGAACGTACGTGTACTTTAATTTAAGACCGGTGCTTCCCGAACCATTTCAGTCGCCTATTCACGTCTTTGCGACATACAGACGCGGAATACACGCGTGCATATTCCGCTTCAGCCTCGCGATTTGCATCGTTTCGCTTCTATCCTTAGAGTCACTGGATCTTTCAACTGTAAATACTTTTTCTTTTTTTTATATCAATATATCGGATTTGATTTAATTCTGCTGTACAAAGTCACGCGTATTATAGAATTGTTTGAGACGCATTTCGGGAAGTACGAGTATTTCAAGGTAGCAATACTTGTCGAGATATCGGAATAACAAGGAGATTACACGCGCGCGCGCGCGTTCGTCAAATCGCGAAGGAGATTACGAAGTTATACGTATTTTACATTTTCGAATAATCGCTCAGCTGAGGAAACCATTGTTTTGTTGAAAACGTAATCGTATACGCGGAACAGTTTATTCCCGCGCATTAGTACAGCGACTTACGGTCGGAATTACCTGTCGGCGCGCCTGAACGAATGACGACAGGGAAACATCACGCCGCGACGGTCGCTCTCTCCCCAGTACTTTAGGGCTTGACTAAGTAGGTAGTCGATCGAAGTTATCGCAATGCACTCTCGTGAGTTATCGTCTCGAATAATATATTTTTACGTACGTTCGGTAAACTCTTAGAAAACGCGCAGAGCTCGACAAAGTTTCCTTAAGTTTCCACCCCCCCCCTCCCTCCCCGATTTATGAGGGGAAAGCGATGCGCGCCGGGCACTATCGTATCCTAAATTCTATAGGATTGTGTCGTATAGATAAATGTTGACTTCCGTCGAATTTTAAGGAAGGTGTGTAACGTGTTGGAGGGGGACGTAATGAAGGATACGCGACGGCGGCGAGGAGATCGAGTGAAACGCGCCGAGAATACATCCGTGAATCTAGTCCTTGTAACATTATAGTGCAGATCTTTACATTTGCAATCGTCTATGTATCTCGTGCTGTATATTTTTTACTACCGTCCGTTTCCACGCGTGTGCCAATCCGCCGTGCAAAGAATGCAGTGTCTTCAAATGGGCCTTTTGATCATATAGTAATCGTCGCGTGGCACGGCCCGATAGAAATAAATATATGTATAGGAAGATATTCGTGCGTATGTTAGCCACGTAAACTGTACACCCGGGTACTAAACCGCCCGTTTTTTTTTTTTGTGGCAAGTTCGAATTTATGTTGCGCTCGTTGTCGCGCATTCGTTACGAGAATAACAATTTTCAAGCGTTTCACAAATAAAAAGAGTCGAATTTAGGAGACATTTTATAGCCGAGCGAGATTATTCAAAGAATAATATTTATCGTTCGAAACGACACGTAGAAGGATAGTCGATTGTATTTATTTGTTTAGTATTTGTTTAGGTACGTGGTACGAGTTTCGTGGCTGCAACAGATGCATTCGTGCAATGTCCTGCCAATGCAATTTATATTTAAGTACTATACTAATGTACGGAGTATCCCGAAAAATGCAATAGTATGGCAGTATTTTCCATCGAACTTATATTTCAATTTTATTGGACGTTTTTTTTTTTGCAAAGTTTTGATCGTGGATATAATTTATAATCTTCGTTTTTGTAGTCTTCGATTTTTAAATGTTTTGTCTACTCATTTTCTTTTTTCTTTTATATATTTTATTCACGTATAATTTAAATCTAATTGGTCATAAATTTCCTAATACTGATACATAAATATTATTATAATATTGTATTATATAATACTAGATAATTATTGTTATAATTAGATCAAGAATTTTTGAATGCTAGAAGAAAGGTGTTTTCATAATTTGATAGAAAATATTGCCTCGCTTTTATTATTGATTTTTCGGGTATATACACACACGCGTGCGCGCGTATATACAATATTCAGCAAATATTTAACATTAATAATAACATATGAGGGTCGAATGGAAACGAGAATCATAAATATCTCACGCGTTCGACCTTAAATGAAAAAATATATATAATTATAACGTATTATATTTATTAGTTTTCTGCGAAACTTTCGCCGTCCGGATGAACTTAGACTTTCATTAGGAACAAACGACGTTGGTGAAACTTTCGCAAGGGGTTGATCGATGTCTCGCCTAGATACCGACAACTGGTAGTTGAAAATTAATTCGCGATGTTTAGTGAGCTAGTATTTTTAACGTCGCTTTCGCCGGGTGCTCACCTCGCGGGCGTGTAGCTCGCGTTCTAAGAAAACGAAAGAGAAGCTGTATTTTTCTACGGTAGTTCTTACACATAAATGCGCATACGCGATTATAGATTTAAAACGGTCCTTTACGATAAATGCACGCGGCCCTTCCTCTCCCCCCCGCACCACCCCGCGGGAAATACGTCTCCGCGAGATGGTCCCGTTAACTCGAATACGTTCTGTACTTACGTACCTTCTCGCGTATCCTCACCGTTTCACGATAACTTTTCGTTGCATACCGAAGGATTCGTCGTGATCGAACGTGATAGAACGACAGTTCCAAGAAAAGGCAGTCATGTACATAGATTCGTGCAATTCCGTTCGCGAACTCGGCTAGAGCCAATTGGGGATGTAATCGAACAATCGGACGATACGATGAATTTCGCACGGGAGAAAAATTTAACGATGAGTGTAAAGTTTATTAATAAAGATAAATGACGAAGGAGAAGGCGCCGCCGCCAGAAGACGGTTGACAAGAATGGCGGAGCTTACTAATTATATTCTCAAAAAAGTATTGCGTCTCCGTTTGTTCGTTAAGCCGGGAGCACAGATTTTTGCATAATGCATAAGGCATAAGAGAATCAACCAATCTTTCATTTCCAAAGAGTCCTTCATTTTCATCGTTCTGTAGATCTTGCATAGTATGTATATACATATACATAAAGCGTAAGGCAGAAGCGATCGAAAAATTCGTAAGAACACGGAAAGAACAATTTTGCTGGATCCATGGATCTGCAGATCTGAAAATAATTTTTGTTCAATAATCAAAATAATTTTGTTGGAAAGTCAAAATAATTGCTAGAATATCAAAATCGTTTTATAGCAATGCTTATCATTTTTAACATTCCAACACAATTTTTTGATGGTTGAACAAGAGTTAATTTTCAGATCTGTCTTCAGCAAAATTTTTAGACCTTTCAACAAAGTCGTTCTTTCCGTGAATGAATTCTTTATGCTTACATGACCATGCTGATTATGTAAATGGTGGTAAACGGTTTAACGGATAGGATTTTAATCTTGAAATAGATGAATAAGGCAAATCGACTTGCCGGTGAAGACAACATACCATAAACTCTGATAGGACACAAGTGGAGCTAATAGGGTTAATAGCGTCGGTGTCGAAGGTTAGAATATATAAATTTAAGCTTTATGCATAAGCTTATGCGTTGCTGCGCATTATGCTATGCGTTATGCCTTATGCGTAATGCTTTATGTAAAAGTCCCGTGCTCCCGCCTTTACATCCCTAATTGACCTTGGTCGCCTCGCGTGAGTATTAGGAAAATGTTAGCCGCGTTAATTAAAGCGCTCGTAGAAACGTATGTATACGTTATAGGGCGCACCGCGACTACTTTATCGCGGGGAGACGGCAGAGAGTTCCGATATATTTACGAACACGTTACTATTAGAGTGCCATGCGCGTGTACCTCGACGCGCATATACGTTTGGCGTACGTATACATACAAAACACACATGCAAACGAACGTAAGCTAATATATTACGTATGTAATATATCGTCCGTATAATAAAGATAACATTTTTTTGCGACGTACACTTGTGTTGCGACGTGGAATTCTCATTTCATCCTCTTGTCCGCTAGAATAATTCGCCGCCGGCGCAAAGACACGCGGAAAGACTTCCTGAGTAGGTATCTAAAAATTTAGCCAAACACAGAGCTGAAGATAATTATGTTGGGCCATCTAAAATAATTATACCGGACGCTCAAGCTGATTGCTAAAACGTCAAAACTTTTTTGCTTTTCGCTTTTTGCAGCATTATCATCGTGCCTGAGCGAGCCTACGTAATTATTTTGATGGCCCAACATAATTATTTTTAGATCTGTATCTGGCCTAATTTTTGTGTGCTTCAGCAAAACACCGTTCTTTCCGTGCGGTCGCGTTTGGAAACGTATTTCAGCGTTGCGAAATATTTCCATGTGAAATAAAAATCGACAAACCTCATGGGAAAGCTCTCCGAGAAGACGTCTCCGTAATTAAACTTTGCTGATTCAAATTTTCTCCGGGAAAAAAAAATAAATTTTAAAATCGCTGGAGCGATATCGCCCTCGGGGAAAGAAAAGAAAAAGAAAAGGAATGCCGTGGTAAGCGGCGGGATAGTGCATAATGTATATAAATCGCGAGCTATACTTCCATTCCTCGACCGCGTTCTCGAGGTCTCCGCGATGATCGAGGACAGATCGAGGCGGAAGAGAGAAAGAGAAACGACGCCTGTCGTCGGATCGAAGAAAAGGGCGCCGACGAAGTGTTCTTCACCATGAAAAATCCCGCGCCAGAAATGACACGCTCTCGTATGTACATACTATAATACATACGCGCGAGAGAAGAGAGAAAGAAAGAGAGAGAGAAAGAGAGAAACAGAGGCGAGGCCCCGCGAGGATGACGTACGGGGGTCCGTACGGTAATTTTTTTCCCCGAGGCGTTTTAGCGCGATGCGCCTCTACTTTTCCCGGCGCCGTAATCTATAGGCGCACTTAATACAGCCGCTCGTTTTGAGTAACCTCGCCCTCTCCTTTCTGCGCTTTCGCGCGCTCGCCTCTCCTCTCTCCACCCTTCCCCACATCTGTTTCTCCTTTCTTTCTTTCTTTCTTTCTTTCTCTTTTTCTTTCTCTCACCCCGGCATGCACTCGCTCAACGTGCGACGTCGTCCCGCTCATTCTTCACGCTCGTTCCCTCGCTGCTCTTCCGCCCGGCATCTCCGGGCTCCACTTAGCGAGACTGCATAATATATCACGCGTGTGGACTGCTTTTACACCGCACACGGAGCTACGTACGGTGTGCGGCGCGGCGCGCGGCACGATGTGACGCTTACGTGCGTGCCGCCGCGACGCAGCGCGCCGCAACGGCCACGTGCACGAGAATGCACCGGAGACGACGTCACGCACCGTGTTTTTTTTTCACCGCTAGCGTAAATCGTTTCCTCGTTTCGCTACGTGCGATCGGCAGCGGAAAGGCTTGGTATGTTATCAACTCTCGGAAGACGCACCTTTCAGAAGACTGTGGCTCTAGTAAGTAGAAATTAATTTTGATTTTTTTTTTTTACTAAAAAGTTATGCTTTTTTTTTAATTTATAAAATAAAAGGAAATTAAGATAAATATCAAAAAAATTTAACGGCAAAAGCGAGCTAATATTATTTCAAGAAACTACGTAAAATTTTGGCCAAATCGAATACCTTTCGATATACATATTTATAGTTTCAAAATATTGATTTGAAAAAATATTTATATAAAATTTGGAATATAGTTTATATATTGTATAAAAAATTTTTTTAATTTACACTAGAACCACTGATATTGGTATTATACGTATAATATGCTTCAGCAGACGATGTGGCTTCGAAAACGTCCGTTTTTTTGCACTCTGCAGCAAATTCTTTCCTCTTTAACGGTTTCTGGCGCCGTGTGCTCGGCACTGTATCGGTACATCGTTCGCCGTTTTTAATTTTTTGGCTGAAATACTCGTGCTCATTTATTCTTTCTTTGTATGCTCTTCTCTCGAACCCTTTCTCGATCGATCGCAAACGAGAGTTGAACAAATGACTGAATACTCTTTTACAAAGATAGTGTTCAAATTGTGTTAAACTGTGTTCTTTACCTTTCTACAATACGGACTATGTAATAATAAATTGAAAATTAATAAACATACTCTTTATCAAGATTAAAGGGACAAAAAGATACAACTACGCTGTGACCGACTCTGACTACTCAAATTTTAAACGATCGTTATTTCTAGAAATTTTAAGATGAGCTTTTTGAGTATGAATATTTTTTAAGACTAATTATATTTTCAAAAAAAGACGTTTTTTAAAAAAATCGATTTTTTGTCCCTATGTAGTTCTTTTGAGGTGAATAAAAATCTTGAAATTAATCTTCGTCTTCTCATTTCTGATTCGAATGATGTTTTATTTTATTTCACACTTAAATAAATCTATCAATCAAATCTTAAATAACGTTTGCCATACTTTTCTAAGTAGCTCTGCGATAAAGTAATGTTCTCACGCAATGCATTTCGCATAGAAATAATTAGAGTTATATATTATTGCTACAGTATAGGCAATATAATAGATGTTGATTGTAATGTTGATTTCTTCACAGGAAATATGCCGTTTACACATCAGTTTAACTATCGCCGTCTATAAATTACACTTTTTGTAGTCGCGCCACGCCTTGGACGCTGCATCCGCTGATATAACTCATTGTCACTTGAATATCACTCTAATTCCGGGGTTAATCTCTGTCAGGGCTAACGAAAATCAATATGCTGCTAACGGATATCAAAGTGGAGTGATGCGAATGAAATTGCGCGGAACGAGAAATCTCATCGTGAATAATCGATAGGACAAAGAAAGTAAACCATTCC